GAACTCAATGGACACCATCCAAAACCAAGCTCTTCGTCTTATCTCTGTCGGAATGAGATCCTCACCGACTGCTGCCTGTGAAATCCACACAAATATTGAGTCATTAGAAACTCGAAGAAAACGGGCAGCTTTAGAAATATATGAAAGATCTAAAAGGCTAGAAAATAACCACCCTAATAGAGTCCTTGTTGGCAAGTGGAAACCTAATCAAAGACTAAAAAATACAAAATCTGTAATTGACACTGTTCTCAATCTCCAAGAAAAACATCACCTCCCTGAAAGACGAGAACCTCTGGAAAGAGTTCCCTCAACTCTCCCACCACATCTCACCATAGCAAAGCCAGAAATTAGGAAAACACTTTTGGACAAGAGCAATAAAAACACATATCCTGTAGCACTAAAACATTCTGCCCTTGAAACAATTGATTCCTATCCACCAACATGGATCCACTCATACACTGATGGATCTGCCTTTAAGGCAACAATCAACGCTGGATATGGGTCAGTGATCAACTTGCCCAGTGGGGGAAAAAAAGAGTCTTCGACTCCAGCGGGTCCTTCTGCTCCAATTTCATTGCCGAACAACAGGCTATCACCAACACAGCAAACTACACTAACTACTTACCACAGACATCGTTATATTTACAGACAGCCTTTCAACACTACAGACACTTGAGAGTGGGACTGATGTGAACAAAGATATATTGCATTTGATTTGGAGTCTACATAACTTGATAAGTAGGCACCACGTCAGAGTAGTCAGTCCTACAATGGATTCCTGCCCACACTGGGATACCGGGAAATGAAAGAGCTGATGCTCTGGCAAAGAAAGGAGCTAGCCTCCCTCAGCCTGAAATTCCTACGAATTACACCACCTGCTGCCAAATGATCAAGTCAAACCTCAAGGAAGAGTGGATGAATGATTGGGCCACAGGTACGACATGAAGGAGGATGTATGGCCACATGAATAAACCACTGGTCAAAGATCCAATCAATGAGTTGAGGAGGGGAGATCAATCCATAATCTTCCAACTTAGAACACAACATGTACCCCTCAACCAACATCTTAACCGAATTGGAGTAAAGCAGTCTGCTGCCTGCCCACTATGTGACTACCCTTCAGAGACAGTGGAACATCATCTGTTTTTCTGTAGAAAACTAACTGATTTAAGAGCATGTTTTCTTCCCAAGCTACCCCACACATCTAATTGACTCTACTCCTCAAGACAACAATTAGAACAAACATGCAACTATTACCGAATGGCATCATGCAGAAGAGTTAACGCTCAGATGCTACTGGATCGCTAACAACAACAACAACAATCTTGAATCGTAGATCGAGCCTCTGCCTCAGATTAAGTAGAAAAAATGAGGTTCACTGTAGAGAGTAAATAAAACCTGACGCCATGATTATTTGCCAACCGGAAGTCTCAAGGAAGTATACAGGGCATTTTCCTTAAAACGAGAGGCTCTTATTATGTCCCGCAGTGACCAGTCAATACTGGCAAAAATCAGGACCGGTCATTTCTCTGGGCTTCGGGCCTACAAAAATAGAATAGACAAAATATCGGACCCAATATGTCCATTGTGCAGCGAGGAGCCCCAAGATTTGGAGCACTGGCTGCAGAGATGCCCCGCCACGGAGGCCCGGCGGTGGCATCTCTTCGGGGAGGATTCAGGGAGGTTGGACTGCCTCACCCGCTACCCAAGGGAGGCGGTGGCCCTGGCGAAGAGCACACTCTTCGGGGCTCAGAACATTTCGAACGGATAGGCTACCACACACACACAACAACAACAACAAGTAGTGCGCTATACGGAGAAGCGGACACACACCACATTAAACGATCTAGGATGGTATCATATTACAAGCCTATGGGGGTTTCCGTGGATTTGTAAAAACTTAAATCTCTACTCAAGTCAGAGTCTATGAACAAGAAGGTATGGCAGTGGGTGCCCTATCCGGAAACGTGCCTTGATGGATTAAGGGCAAGTATCGTGTATACAATACCAACAACGTTATGCTCAATCAGTCTCTCATAAAAAGTGGAAAGAAAACGAACTCTGAAAACCCTCAGAAATTACCTTAACCACTATAGATTTAATGCTATACCTTCTTCATTGGTTTTTGGCCCTGCCAGAAGAAGAAGAAGAAGAAGAAGAAGAAGAAGAAGAAGAAGAAGAAGAAGAAGTAGAAGAAGAAGAAGAAGAAGAATGCTTACAATAATGGTTATGGTAAGGATTATGATAAACCTAATTATGAGCTGTGGAAAAAAACAACCTATACCACCGTATAAAAGCTAATGGAGTTCGTTATCAGTATCAGGTGATCCTCTTTCATTCCAATTTTTAGATTGCAGCAAAACGTTTCGCCACTCTCGTCGGTGTAACAGTGATAACAATAACAATGTTTATCATAATAGTATGGCCCTTTATCAAGGACATGGTTGCTGCATGTGTGATGGGAGTAGTAGGCCTAGAATAAATTGACCGCCGTCTGTGATGTAGTTTTGGGGCTTCCCTATCATCGTACGCGGAAGATGTGAGTTCGATTCCTGTTTGGAAAGGATGTTTGTTGAGTATCCTCACCTATTTGCTGGGAAGTTGTACACTCTTAGTAGTCTTAGTCCGTGTTGGCGTCGAGGCAGCTCTACTCCTTAATAATCTAAATTGTGTCCAAGGGGACGCAAAACACTTAAATTATAAGTCCTAGACTAGAATAACGCGAACAGTATGGGTGGCGGAAATGACCAAGATAATAAGTATAAAGATTTTTTTCCTCTTAGTTTTTCCTGAGAGTTTTACGGCACTTGTAACATAAATAAATGTTATATGCACACATGTAAAAGGTTTGAGATATTATTAAAGAGTGACGTACTTAGTTGAGGACGACAGATGTTTGAAAGGGGAAAAGGAGCAAATCATACCAGAGCACCTTCCAATCATCCACAGGTTGGGTTTTTTCTTTTCTGAGAGCATCCCAGCTGAGAAATTAATGGCGAACCGTGATTGCCGATATCTGTTTGAGTCTCGTTCTTGGGGAGAAGAAGAAAAAGCGTTACTATCACTCCGGTATATGATAAAAATCGTCTCGTTGTAACAAGATATCGTGTACTTGCAGTCATCCCGGCGTCAACTACCTTGGTACTTTAAAGTCTTTGTAGAACACAATTTGTAAACTACTGATGTTTGGGTTTATAACGGTTATTTGTGAGGCAACGTGGTGGAATCAGGCTCTCGTCAAAATAATCAAAGTGAAGAAACTTGCATTTTGTGAATTTTTTTCAAATTTTTGTCTGAACCCTTCCTTGTTTATTAAAGAACTCATTTCTGTATAGATTTTTCTGAAAAACGTTGATTAAAGGCACAAAAAATGTAAAGCTAAGAAAATAACTAATCTTTGGCGGCCATTTTTTCACTAATCTTACCTCTGAAAACAGATGACCCCCACCCCCTTCATTCGCAAATATCTCGACTTCTATTCAAGATAAATAGATATTTGTTTCACCCAAATAAAGACAAATGATCAAGCTTTAAGATGATACCAATAACCCTACATGCCCAAAAATGGACGAGAGCCTGATTCCACCACGCTGCCTCATAATATATATTCATATTGTATTATTATACTCATCGCTGCTGCCTGCAGGAGACATGATATCGAGTTTGATTTCCTGCAAAAACTATTATATTTTAGGGCGGTCAAAAATTCGTGGTGCAAGTTATCCACAAATATCTCTTAAACGGGAGAATCGCTGTCACTCATACTTGCCACAGTAGTTTGTATCAATTTGTCTTAACTTAATCATAACAACCTTTTTTCACAACAATTGAGGCTAAATCAAAAAATCTTTTTTTTTAAATAAGTCTATATAAAATACTCCGTCACGCGGAAAATGGGATTGTTCACGGCACTTCCCGCTTCTTGTACACATTTTGTATGGCCTACGTCAAAGCTCGCCATCAATGACACTTTTTAGTGGCAAAACTTGTTGCAAAGAATGTTTCTTTATAGTGAGCTCATTTTAGCACAAAGGTTCTCAAAACATTTGTTCAATAAGCATTAAGTTACGATTAGAAAACAACGACGGCCTTGCTTTAGAAAGCAATATCGCCGGGCTGTAAACTTTTAAAAAGTTGTAGAAACAATAGACTGGTATTTTTCATAAGTATTTATTTAGGAATTTTCTTAGAATACAGGGTACAGGTGTTTGAAAAATTAATATTCATCAGTTATGACAAATTGCTTTAAGCCATTCTGCAAACGTTGGAGAATCTATGTTCAATAATAGTTAAGGAGATTGGAAATACGTTACGCCCCTAATCTTTAACCACACTATAGCAATGGATATATCATTAGACTTTTCTTACACACACACACACACACACACACACACACACACACACACACACACACA